AAGAGGAAAAAAAAGAGGAAAGAGATAGGGAATAGAAAAAAGGGGGAAAGGAAAAAAAGAGGAGGGGGAGGGAGGAAAAGGGGAAGGAGAGAAAAAAAAAGAAAAGGAGAAGAAAGGGAGGAAAGAGAAGAAGGAGGAAGGGAAAGGAGAAGGAGAGTAAAAAAAGGGGAAAGAAAAAAAAAGGAAGAAGAGAAGAGAAAGGGAGAAAAAAGAGAGAGAGAGAGAGAGAGAGAGAGAGAGAGAGAGAGAGAGAGAGAGAGAGAGAGAGAGAGAGAGAGAGAGAGAGAGAGAGAGAGAGAGAGAGAGAGAGAGAGAGAGAGAGAGAGAGAGAGAGAGAGAGAGAGAGAGATTTAGGGTGGATGCAATTGATATGGAGTAGTGATGGGTTGCCGCCAAGATTGTCCTATACTATGCCTCCATGCTTCCGACATTTGGATCAATCCTTAAAAGACAGACCCATCATCGTGAGACCACTATCAATTAGGGGATGTAACCATCTAACGGTGGAGAAGTTTTCTCTTGAATCTAACTAGTAGGCTGATACAAAGTTTAATTTGTTGACAAAACAAAAATAATAAAAATGGTTGGTTATTGGGAACGTTTTGTTCTAAAGAATAATATGGAAGACTTGAACTCATTGGATATGCTAAACAAATCCAATTGGATCACATTGCACAGATGTCTATTTATCTTTGATGTGAACATGGAAATGTTTTCAAAAGGAATCAATGATACATTAGATGTAAGAAAAAAATGGGTTGAGATTGTGACAAGAGCAAGGAAAGTGAAGTTGTTGGGTAGCCAAGCAACGAACGTCTTTCTGTTTGTCTCAAGCTTTGAATCCAAAGAAGCACACAGCCAAAGGACAAAAGAAGATGGTAAAAGTTGATGTGTACACTCTCTTCTTCAGGACCCATATCCCCCATTTATTGTCCTTTTGGAAATAAAGTTCTTCTGACTTCTCAGTCTCTTCCCATTTCAATATTGATGCTCTCTTCTTTGACATCCAATTAAAAGTTGAGTGTTGTGTTGGCTCTGTAAACGCAGACTTTGTTTTAGTTTTTGTCAAATACTGTTTGGTAAAATTTAAATGTAAATGCAGAATCAAAATCATCAAATGGAAGTATGGAACTATGTCTCCGTGTGTGAATAGAAAAATGTACGTAAAAAACCTCTACAGCAATTCTTGCTCCTTTTAAAACAATTCTTGCTCCTTAACATTTTTAATGTTATACGTAGTATTGGATTCCTTCTAAAAACTTACAGCTATTACAATATACTTTATTTTTTATGTGCTTTTGTCTTTTTCAAAACAAGCATTTTAGAGTTTTACGGTATACATCAAATCTAAAACCTAGATATTTTCGATATACAGTAAAACCTCTATAAATTAATAATATTGAGACCATGATATTTTATTAATTTATTGTGATATTAATTTATCTATAAATTAATAATTATTAATTTATAGAGAAAATTTGTTTGTCGCATATAATTTTCTAAATTTTTTTTTGGAATAATGTTATATTTTAAAATTTTAATAAATCTCATAATATAAATTATAATTAACAATCATAACTATCGCAGTAAAATAATTTTTAACACCATATTGGATTATCCATGTAAAAATATACATGTTCATAAGTTTAAAATTTATAAAAAATCATGGTTACTATCAGTATTATTGATGATAAAATTGAAAATAACACTACAATACATTTAAAAACATTTACAGTTAAAAATATCAAATATCACTTTAAAAAATCATCATAAATTTTGAATGTATATAGTAAAACAGCAATAAGAGCTACTGATATAATAATTAGAGAGATAGGAACCAATGAGATTTTAACTTTAAGTAAAAACAAACACATTAATCATATTTTAGAATATTATGTTTACATATATTTGCATAAATTTATATAATTATTAATTTATGCTTTTGTTGGGACCATATATTTACATAATGGTTTCAAAAAAAATTATTATCTTATTATCTTATCGAATTTGATGGATTTTTACATTGGCCCGACTTGGAACTAGCAAATTTTATTAATTTATAATGATTATTAATTTATCGAGTATTAGTTTATAGAGGTTCTACTGTAATTCTTGCAACAGCTGCAAAACCAGTTGGACAATTCGTATTATATTTAAACATATGAGTTCATTGGAGTCTATGCGAAATAAAATACAGTAAAAATAAATAT